CCAGTCCTGACGCATGGAGAGGGAACCAGTGCTTCAAAATCCGATTTTTACACCACCTTCTCTTCATGTTGATTTTTAAAAATGAAAGTGAAACCGACTTCACATCATAGATATGTTTTTTTTTGTCTCAAACGTCAGGTTCACAAACTTTGAATGCGTTAAACTGCATTTTACGTGCATGGGCGAAAACAAGATTAACAATAAGAATTAGCGTAATCTACCTTGCGTCCTTCGCCTAAACCTGTTCATCCTTGCTCTGGGCTACTTGTGGTCTTCAGTATTGACGTCCCCCAGGTCTGTCTTCGGGGTTCAGGTTAAGGGAAGGGATTATTATTATAACACATCCACTGGAAATGACCTACCCAGACAAGCCTGGGTCAAGCTGAACCGACTAAGAACCGGACACGGCCTTTTCCAGGCCACCCTACACAAGTGGGGTCTCACTGATGACCCAATTTGCGAATGCGGCGACGGCAAGGAGCAGACGGCCGAGCACATCCTATACTCCTGCCCTCGCTTCAGGTGCCCCGGCAGCTTCACCGATTTGGATGATGCCAGCCGCGACTGGCTGAGGCACCTGACTGTGACAATATAACTATGTAACATCTGCATGTTAAGCTCATACGAATAATAGGTGAAGGGAAAAGGCGAAGTACAGTAGGAGAGTTTGTCGCAACTTCACTGACCGGGACTTAAACGTGGAGATTTTAGAATCAGGAGGACGTAGAGATCCTAAATCGGTATCAAAATGAATAATGTTACAAAATAATAATTGATAAAAACAATAAAAGATGGAAAATACTTTATTTTTAATTGATATTTTCAAGCTAGGCAACATTAAGGAATCCCCTTTTTGTTGAAAACACGAAGCTTCGTTATAAAAAATTAACTCGTCAAGGCTGTTCAACACGGGCTAGTCACCGGTGCCGCTAATGTTAACAGCAGTGCCGGATCTCCCACCGAAGGCCTACGAAATGTTCAGGGCCGACGAAGGAGGGAAACATTAGTGACTGACGAAAAACGAGCTGAAACAACACGCTTGCGACCGACTCTAGGTGCTCCAAATCGATAATCATACGGTATCCAGCGGCTTTGAAGTATCGGAGCGACGGTCGCTCGACTCGCCCCATCCATCATGTAGTTTAGCAGGAGAATAGTTTAAAGTGCATTTTTGTCAATCGACGTCATTCAATTGGCGTTGACACCCCCTTTTTCCCCATTTCGGAGTGAAAGTGCCGAGGGCCTGCGAGCACCAAAATCCGGCCCTGGTTAACGGCGTGTTTCTGAACTGCATTTTCTAACAGTAGGTCGTGTGCCTTCTAGGGCCGGACTGCAAAGAGGCGAGCCGATTTCCAACTAGAGTAGACAACCGCTTACTTTCGACCGTACACGATATAACCGGTATAAACTTGCATTGTGATTCAGATGACTATTATTTTATGATAACTGGCAAGTGTTATAAGCCCTCTTAGGAGTGAGAGTCATAAAAGCCGCAATAAAATGCCAAAATAGACATATAATATACGTAAAAGTCTCTGATTCATTCCAAGCGCTCATTAATCGACACACCGGGTGAGTTCGGGTACGTTTCTAATGTACTGGAATAGTCTGCAGTCATAAATAGCTAAGTATGCGTTACAAGTAGAATTTATCGACACTTTTCTATACACGCTGTTCAAATGTATTACGGAGTAGTTATGTGGAGAGAAAAAATCGCGTGATCTCATTAACAATAATTATGGCTGAACTCATCAAAATTTCATTCTAAACAAAAATGATGTTATTAAATCTTGTGCGGTCGAATACGGAATAAAACCCATAACCCTTAAGAGCTTCAAGGTACTGTTTATTCAGCATAATAAAAATTAAAACATAAATTGTTTAAACTGTTAACATCCTGGGTTGATGCAAAGTCCTGTTTAAATTGTTTCAAATTTTGGATGCCAGGTGAGTTTGGGGTTGAGATATTTCAGTATTCATTAAGGGATAGGCTAGAGTCAAGGTGAGCACAATTTATTAAGAGCCTGATAAGGGTTTTTGTTAGGTAAATAAGAAAACACCTTTTTATCACACTCAAGTGCTGGTCAGGCTGCCCGTTGTTAAACGTCGTTAGCAATAATTGAGGTAGAGCAACTGAAACTATAAGATGAAAAAAAGAAAATATTTAAAGAAAACAAGTTAAGAAAAGGATTGAAACGGTTAAAGAAGCACTAGAAATTAACAGCTAAAATGAAGCAAGAACATAGGCAAAATAGTCCAAGTTGGATTAGGACTACACACATCTAGTTAAAATATAATCTCATTTGGTGGCCTGCAGTTCTACAGAATGCCCACAGGGGGGCAGTACAACCCACAATGTTGTAATGGCGCGGAAAACCCGAGCTGTGAAAGACTGCAGCTACAGCGGGCATTTAAAAATACTTATCAGGTAATTATATTTTTACTTGCCATTAAGAAAAAGAAATGGCTGTCAACTGATTTAACAAAAATCTTACACGAATTTGAATAACAACTTTCTACAAAAAAATATTTTAATTTCGAAATGGTTTCATGGTCGTTGCATACGGAAAGTTAAAAATACAAAATGGAAAGTATCATGGTCTTCTAGACAATGTAGGAAAGCAATAATAAAGGAGAACAAATTTCTAGAACACTTAGTTAAAAGTGATGATTCATGGGATGTTGCGTTACAACTGCACAACGGACTAGCAAGATTTCATTTACAACTGTCCGGGAAACACAAGGAAGGTATTGCCGCTCTTCAGACAGGTCAGAAAGGAACGAGCAGATATAGTACATTCCCAGGCACGTCCTACACCAACAGCCTGGAGGAACTAAACCTTTTTAGTCTTGAACAGAAAAGGGTACGAAGGACCTGGTGTAAGTGGAGACTCCGGGGAGTCTGTTACACAAAGGGTTAGGAACAAGGTACCCAGCCATGTGGTTGAAACTCTTCAGAAACAGCTGGATGAGATCCTCAGAGAGCTGCTGAAAAGAACAAGCCAGACGGGCTTCATGGCCTCCTGCCTTTCACAGCCATCGTCCTTTACGTCCTGACAGGATTCCAGAAAGTCTTCATTCTATACGTGGGAAACCTGTATAATGTGTAAAAATCATTGAAACACAGATGTGTTTCACACCCTCTCCCAGGGACGAAGGGAGTTCCATAGAATTTTATCCAGGGTCCGACTGTCTCCTCCCTTTGTGTAAATATTGATGAGATACCACTCATATGCAGCCCCTATACCCATGACAACATGGTTTCATTGACCCTCTTTACCCACTGTAATGACAGATCAGGAGTGGAGTTTTTTTTAATAAAAGTTCAGCAGGCTTTTTGTGGAATTTTATTTATGCAAATAATAATTCAGACTTCTCCCTTAATAATCATAAAATGTGGCAAAACCAATTTGGAGCTGGAGTACTGGTAGAGCTGTGATATGGCCTGGATAGTGATTTAACTTTCAAACTCATTAAATTACAAGCTGAAGCTAAGTCTAGACTTGGTTGTATCACAAAAAATGTCTTTAGAAATCTTACGAGTGCATTAGTTGTCTGTACTATATTGCACTATGGTGATGTTTACAGAAGGGCCTCCAATTCACCTTAATTCTGCCCTACAATGCATCTCTGGTGCCCCAAGTAACTCATCACTGTGATCTTTATTTTGTGATTGATTGACCCTCTCTGTGTACTAGACAGATGCTTTAATGGTTTAAATTTAAAGATCCTTAACTCCGAAAACATCTTTACATAAGAACATAAAGTTTACAGACAAGAAGAGACCTGTCTGGGTAGTTTTGTAATTAGCAGCTTACTGAGCAGAGGATATGTATCGGCCAATTCCTTGACACGCTTTATGGACCTCTGCAATGTAAATTGGACTTGTAATGAATTATTAAACTGCAATGTAGCATGAACCACCCAAAAAAAAATCCACATGGATTAGTCTGTCCCAAAGTAGCATCACTGACTGATCAGCCAACAGGTGGAGTTTTTTTTAAAGATCAAATATTAGCCTCTACCACAGGAGGATTTTGACAGATACTGTTACTGAAACCAGGGTTTGTAAAATGGTTGATTTGTATAAGACGACAATGATCTGGTTCAGGTTGTTAGAAGCCCAGCTCAACTGAAAATCTTGAGAAAATGTAGGACCCCCATTTTACATAAATCTAAACCAGATATTCGGTCTTAGTCCTAGTGGGCTGACATCTCTCTTCAAAACAAACCACCTCAAGAGCTGAGAAAATATGCCAACTGGTCCAATTAAACCAAACAAGCCAATTTAGGCTACATATTCAAGTTAGAACTGTACGGCATGTTACCTTTTCCTTTCTATAAGCTTATTCGCCTTATTTGAAATGTTAATGACCTAGAGTGAGTCCAAGCACCCATTTACAGAATGTTTCTGGAACAGAGTGAATACAATCAAGGTCTCAAAGCTCTAATAAATCAAATACGGGATCATTTAAAACAACCAGGAACTTGATTTATAATTTAAAAGAAAAATTGTTTAAAAAGTGAGACAAAAAACAGCAGCAACAACAGGTATTTCTCAAGCCAAATTCACTTTATATTCGTTTTTCTGAAGTTCTGAGGGGACAACAGTGTATTTCGGACTTCAAGTTGCATTCAATACAATTGTGAACTGACTGAAAGACCTGCTTTATTGCATGGTGAAGCACTCCTCAAATCTTTATAGCAGTAATTTAAACATTGCTGATGAGATCAGTTCTATTCAGGTGAATTTTAAAAACAAGAAGTGAGGGAACAGTTGAATTGCACCCAAAACTGAAAATCCTTAATTAAAAAAAAAATCAAATGTAGTAGGTGTCCAGGTTTGTCTTTTAATTATTATATCCACAAAAACTAAAGACAGGAGTTGATAAAACCAAACCACGTTCCTGGGTCTGTCCGCCCCCACGCCACTGTCCCTCGGCTCATTGACCCCTTTCCCCACACAATCACACACACATCTAGACCGCGTCAGACCCATTCGGCCACGGACTGTTTGTTGTTGTACTGTTAAATATATAAAACGGAGATCTGTGCCGCGGCAGAGCTGTCACGCTGGTGGGCAGCCTTCACTCTGCCAGGCCCAGCTTCTTCTTCAGGGACTCGGGCATCTCGGGGGGAGGGGGGCGGGGCAGCCTGAAGTAGACCTTCACCGAGTCGTAGATGAACCACTGCAGGGCCGTCAGCGTGCCGATCATGATGATACGGGCCACCAGGCCCTTCCACACGCCTGCAAAACCACGCGAGAGAAAGGCGCGTCTCAAACCGGTCGCCACATTTTGATCTCGAACAACACGGCCCGGCCGAAAAAAGGACCGAGGATCGGGCTTGTCCGCCCACCAGCCTGGCTGTACTGGCGTGCTCCGGGGGGCGCGGGGCCGGCCGGTGTCCAGTACAGCAGGGGGCTGGTGTGCAGGTGGACTGCTCTCACACGCCTATGACTCAAGCACCCCCGACTGTGCAACCGTCAAGTTGCTGGGAGCCCCCTGGCCGGAGCTGCTGGACTCCCAGATAGAGGAAGCAGCAGCAGCACGCGGCCCAGGACGCTCCCCAGGGGTGGATCTAAGGGAGCGTGTTGGGTCACGAATAAGGACAATTCTTCCCTTTAAGCAAATGACTAAATCAGGTCTTTAAACTACAGCTGCAGTCCTCAGCCCTTGTGCTGGAGGGCGTCACTCTTTTACAGCTTCACAGACACCTTCAAGATGATGGTGATCTGAAGCCAGTGACTGGTTTAATTATGTAACAGGGCTCTTACAGCATGAAGTACATTAAACCCTCAACTGACCAGCACCAGGGGCAACTGCACACAACGTACTATACTGCAGTCAACCACAAAACCAAAAACACAAAAGTCATGTTTCTGTGGGGAAGGCAAAAAAAAAAGAATCCATTAACTCAGAAGCTTTAACATACTTGCCAGTCACAGTAACAGAGGCTTGACCCCTTTCTCCCTGTGGGTCGGCTTTCTAAAACCTCATGAGGTCGAGCAGCAGTGGCACATTAAGAGGAGGAAGAGTTCGGAAGGAACGGGTTACCTCTCAGGCCCAGCCTCTTCAGCACCTGCAGGGCTGTGCTTCCCTTCTCCTTGTTCAGCACCGACACCACGGAGTCAGCAGGGTGAGACACGATCGCACAGAACACACCAGCTGGGGGAAGAGAAACAGGCAGGGTGAGACATCGCACACGGAACACCCCAGCTGAAGGGAAACAGGCACCGGAAGCGATCTCACGAACGGGAAGTCAAAAACTAGTGGCCAGACACCTGACATTAAACCTACAACAAATAGCTCTTCCTTCGAGTTGGGGCTACTTTCAAGTAGGTGAGATTTTACTAACAGAGAAAAGGATATCAAGTGACTGAAGAACTGCAGATCCTCCAAGGTATGAGACAACTGGCCAAATACACCTATAAGTATACCATCACACAGTGGGGACAGTGCTTTGTATGGACAGTGTTTTTAATAAAACCTAAGATGTGCTGTATCAGTTGTAAATTTAGTAAAGATGTTTTACAAAAAGAACCTTTCTCCTTTCATCATTTGTTTGCAATATCTAAATCGGCTTCGCCCCTAACAATTGAGAACACAAAGTTTAAGACATCCAAAAACTGAAAACTAGTTTTAAAGCCTCAACAAAGAAATCCTAACAGACTGCCATGCATGTTCACTGGCTGAAAACTGAAGAGTTAAGCAGAATGATTTCACAAGCCAAGGTAGTAGGCCTGTGGCTTGAATGATAGTTAAATTCAGCATTTTCCTTCTGTATTAGCGTCATAAAGCTTGTGAAACTACAAAAGTACCTTGTCAATCTTCAGCAATACAGATTTGTCAAGCAACCACAACACGGCACTTTTCAGAGTAACAAACCACTGATTGTCAACCTGTTTGCAACTCCCAGGTTCCAACAGCCTTTCATATTTTACAGCTAAATTCTCAACATTAACCTGTATAAACACGGTCAGGTAATAGTAACCATAAAGCCTTGCAAATCAATTATGAATGACCATGTTAAAAAAAGAACATGCAACATAATGCTCATCTTGCAGGCCACAATATACAATATAGATGAAGAAACAGCATAATATTTACAGGAACTACCGGCAACATGAACAAAACCTGTTTGCACACAAACAAAGTTTTTACCCCCCAGTCCCAGCAGCAGCCCCTGGGACAGACAAGAGTCTGGACTGACTGCTTTTTATATGCATCAGTATGGACTCAAGCCGTCTTTGGGCAGGGAAGGTGACCAATGTAATCAAGATTAAACTTTAGGGCAAGGTTCTTTGACCGTCACCACTTGAAATGCAAAACACAAAGCCCACGTATATATATATATGCATGCAAAAAGTGTGCACAAGGAAAGCTAATGAATCTTCCTCAACTTTTGAAAAAGGCTCTGCCAGAGGGCCCCCCTTCACTCACCGATGTAACCAGCCACAAACGTGACGACCAGCTGCTCGGACTTGGAGCACTCGCTGCGTGGTTTGGGCACCACGAACTTGTACAGGGCCTCCACCGTGCGCTCAAAGCAGGCGAACTTCATCATGGTGTATGGGATCTGCCTCATCCACAGCGGCACCACCCCCTTGTAGAAGCTGCAGGAGACAAAGATCTGTGCAGCTAAGCGATCTAACAGGTAGGCACGCGAGATGCAGATGGCGAGACAGGGTGAGATAATGGGTAGCCACTCTGTCCAAGCTTGCATATGTTACGAAAGCCTGGTCACATGAAACTGTGCAAACAGAGGAGCCGCTTCATATCCCAGGACGCGATATAAACATCACACATGTGTGACTGCCCCTTATTTATCTAGCCGCAATCACTCACTCCAACTGTTCACCATTAAAGCACGGACCACTAGGTTTAAGAACAGCTTCTATCCTACGCCAGTGTGCATCATAAACAGCTAACTGTGCAAAGCCTCAGAACTCAATGTACCTCCACACTATGCACATTTGACCACCACATTTATTACAGTGCAGAGTGCGTTTATTGTCCTTGCTGTTATTATGAACCATTTTGTAATGTACCGTCTACATTGTGTGGCGTTGTCTGTTGTATTGCACATGTCCTGAGAGATCGGCGCAAATAAGAACTCCAGCGTATACGTACATATGGCAATAAACTCCTCTACTTTCTGCCTTGATCGTTTTTAAACCGCTGTGCGCAGTGTAGCTGTAGCTGGTCAATTTGTCCGCCCACCAGCCTGGCTGTACTGGCGTGCTCCGGGGGGCGCGGGGCCGGCCGGTGTCCAGTACAGCAGGGGGCTGGTGTGCAGGTGGACTGCTCTCACACGCCTATGACTCAAGCACCCCCGACTGTGCAACCGTCAAGTTGCTGGGAGCCCCCTGGCCGGAGCTGCTGGACTCCCAGAGAGAGGAAGCAGCAGCAGCACGCGGCCCAGGATGCTCCCCAGGGGTGGATCTAAGGGAGCGTGTTGGCTCACGAACAGGAGCACGTGGACAGGAGATCAGACGTCATCAGCTTCATACTCACGCCCAGAGTCCTTCCTCAGCATACATCTTGGGGACGCACTCCCTCAGGGTGTTGGCATAGCCAGGCTGGGTCTGGATACGGACCTTCACGGCCTCCATCGGAGCCAGAGCGATGTCCGCGAAGAACTCCGCGCTGGCGGACGCGGCCAGGTACAGAGACGTCCTCCACATGTACGTATTTTCCTTTACCAAGGAGAGGGAGTGTCAGCAAATGGCCTACCAACTTTCCCGCGCGCTGCTTTTTCTGTCATGATCCTTTGTATTTAAACGGCTTAAGGCAGGAAGAGTCAAAACTGGCACCCGGATTCTGTGCTATTACAGGACTTTGATCCTTCCAACAAGTTCAGTGTGGAATTAGACCTTAATTGCTTAATTAGCGCAGGCGCTGCAAATCACGTCAAGAATAAAGGATTAGCTGCAGGAAAGTGTTGCAACGTCCCGGGGATCCATGTGCCAAGATTGACTAACTCTGGTCTAGCAAAACATTCACTGAACACTTTTCCTAAGAGGTTTTTAATTTACATGAAGATAAAGCACTATCACCATTACCTGAAAGCAAAGCGCACCCACTTGTGTGAAGTGGGTGAATTTTGGAAGTGATAATGTATGCTTAATTCTCATTTAATTACCTTCCTGTGGTTAAGTTTGCCGACAGGTTACTTGCTATTTTTTTACACCATCGGAAAGAGGAAAAAAATAAAGCCAGGCAAATATCTTGAGTTTATTTCTGCAACTTAACACACGGAGGTAAAAAAAACATCTGTCGTGTGGGGTCTCCTGAGTGGCAGAACAGGTAAGGGTGCTCACCTGAATACAGGTTGAGCGTTATGGTCCCAGATCCGAGTCTGGGTCACGTCACCAGTCAGTGTGACTGGGTTTCAGAGGAAATTGGGAAAATAAGTTACAGAAGGAACGTTGATTCAATTACACAAATCCTAAAGACCGTCGTGAGATTCTATTGCAGGCACTGAAAGTTTATACATCATGGCAAGTACTTAAAAACTGTAGACCTCTCACTATTTCTCCTTAACAGTTCAAGACCTAAACAGAGATGGGCCACTTTCCTTTTAAAACCACACTTTCAGCATTAATAGGTCACAATTTCAAGGAGCAAAAAAAAACAGGCAAAATGCTTGTTGAAAAGGAGGAGGATGGGAGTAACGGGGATAAAGTGGAGGTCAGGCATATTAATAATAATAATAATAATAAATAATAATAATTGCTTACACTTATATAGCGCTTTTCTGGACACTCCACTCAAAGCTCTTTACAGGTAATGGGGATCCCCTCCACCACCACCAGTGTGCAGCCCCACCTGGATGATGCGACGGCAGCCATAGTGCGCCAGAACGCTCACCACACATCAGCTATTAGTGGGGAGGAGAGCAGAGTAATGTAGCCAATTCATAGAGGGGGATTATTAGGAGGCCATGATTGGTAAGGGCCAGTGGGAAATTTGGCCAGGACGCCGGGGTTACACCCCTATATTGAGGAGTGAATTCCAGCAAGCCCAAAACACAGTTTTGTAATATGGCCTAACATAACCAGAAGAATAATAAGAACAGGGTCTGTAGTTTCCCACAGTCCCTATATTTCTCAGAGCACCTACTAACAAACCACCAACCATGATAAACGCCCAGCATGATTATGGCTGTCCTGCCAATTGGGGACTCACCTCACCCATCAGGTTGCTGTAAAAGATTTTGAAGACCTCATAAAAGCCGAACTTGCACAGCCCTTGCATGGAGTAGCCGATGAAGGTGGGAGCCCAGCCCTTGGCCAGACCCCTCATCCCATCCTCGCGGACTGTGATGGAGAAACCTTTGAAAATGCTCTTGTACTTGTCGGGATTCACCTGCAGGAGAAACACGAGTCGAGAAATCAGGAGAGCTGCAGGAACCAGATCAGGCCCACCTGTGATGTGGTGGGTCAGAACTACATATTTAAAATAAAACCAAGCAATAAAAAAAAAATTATTTAGCACAGGTGGTATCCAAGCAGGTCCTGGAAAGACAGGGTGTCTGCGGGTTTTCAATGCCTATTGAAAGCAGCAGTGTGCAAAATGGGAGATTGTTCAACTGGTCCAGTTCATCTCATTGCAAGCAGAGTTTGAACAAAACCCACAGACCCCAACCCTCCAAGACAAAGATTGGGCACCCCTACTTTCAACTACATAGAACCTAAAAAAACATGAAGGATTACCAGCTTCTATACAAACTGAACTATTTTTGGAGGAGCCCAACAAAGCCGACTATCCAGAAGATGGAAAATAGGAAACACAGACTAAAAGTGCAATATGCCATCACTTAACGACAATATATTCTCACTTCATGTGAAATAAGATGTCTAACGTAGACCAAGCTTAGGCAATCAAATTTTTTTTGTATTCCTTCATAACTCTTTGTTCCACGTAGAAATAAATTACAAGACTAATATGTAAATTACAGTTCCAGTTTGATCAAAGCCCTACAATGGATGGTACGGCTCCACCAAGCTTAGGCCAGTTTAAGTCCAGAAATGTACAAGAAAGGCCGGATTAGCGGCTCTTGGATACAAACCTGCAGACGGCATTTCACTAAATCCAAGGGCACAACAGCTGTGTGTGTGATTCCGCAACTCAGGATTCCTCCAAAACCACACAGTGCATAGTATTTCATAGACCCAAAATCACAGCTGACTTCATCTGTAGCAACACAAAACACACACAGGCCATGCTGTTAGTTAAAACAAACCATGCTATATCAGGCCAAGGAATGAGTGTCTCCAAACAAAAAACACCAGTTCCAAATAATTAGGGTTAGGCTTAAGGTTAAGAAATACAGCTGTGTATCTGAACACAGATCACGGATGATAGGAGGCTTTTTGGGATATCTAGCCCTTATAGTTGCAGGTAGCCAATTGATTTGAGAATCTAAACCCATCACCTGGGAACGCAGCCCGTGTACTGGTTTCAGCATAGCTGGGCTGAAATTCCATAGGGTACGTCATGTGGACTATAAATCTCTAGTCATAAATTAAAACGGACTTTTGCACATCATGAATTAAAACTGCACAGGCAGTTCGTGGGTGGTTTTCGATTACATGCATACATTCTGGACAACTGGGATAGAAATACTAAATGTCAGGCCACGTAAAGGTGCTAAGGAAAAGTGCGTGAACCAGTCACGGACAACTCGTATTAAACTCCAGGAAGTAAAACTATCCCACCCGAGACCCTCGAGCAGGGTAAAGACTCACGGCGATGGAAAGCAGCTGAAGGCTTTTAGTGAACCTAAGAAATCAAATCTTCTTACAGTTAGACAACTTTTTTTGCTGTCCTTTGGCAGCAAGTGTATAAGCAACTTTAGATCCTTTTTAAGTAATAAACAGCGTTACCCATGCTAAACTGATGATCGTATGCTACAATGTAGCTTAAAGTTTATATGGCAGTAAACAAGGACTATAAAAATATAAAACACTCCCAACTGCAAGGTTGCAATCTTTTCAGGATCAGGATTACTTGTCCTTGCCACTGCCCTAAGTGCAGTATCACTGCTCACTACTTCCTAATGACATGGCACGTGCTTCCCCAAAATCGGGACTGGCATTCGCACCTCGTGCGCCAGACTATGAGCCTCACATTATATCATTCAGCCAGACAGGTGGCAACAACCAAAAGGACTCAAAAGGATTTGCAGTAGCTTTTCGGGGCTCGTGTGGGCATTCAACATTCAAGATGAGAAACATAACTTTGTGTAAGTTCAATTTAAGCCTTTATTTAAGCTGATAAATACTACACGCTGATCAGAACAGACACGAGTATCTACAAGGGGGTGAAGCATTAGGAGGTTTATATGCTCAGGATAGGCCTGCCTCTCTGTGCTGCAGCAGATTCGCTCCTTGTTTGGATGGCACCTGGAGTAAGCACAACTAGTTTTCTTTGAAACTGAGCTGGTAAAATCCGGTGCCAAACTAATGGCTTTAACTGCTCTGCTCACTTGGCCAGACGCTTACCTGATCTGCTCTCAGCCCACGGTTTCAATAGTGCCCGACTACCAGCAACGTCAGCACAGATCTTTACACCGTCTCCAATCCATCGATTAAGACCTTGCTCCCTTAGTTCTGTCTAAACAGCTCTTAATAGGTGATCAATTAAGGAACAACAATGCATCAAACTACTATAGTGTGCATTTATAGTAGTACAGAGGCCCAAATATTTTCCAGCTACCACCAGGATGAGGAGAGTTCTGACACTCGAGAACGGGTAATATTGATACCAATTATAAATCCGCTTCAACCTTCAACCAAGCATAACGGAAATTAAAAAATATGCCACATATAGAAAACTGAAATCAGATACCCTGCGATTAAAGAGCCCAGTTGGAACATGCACCATAGTGGTCTCAAGGACCAAAGCCAGCAGCTCCTACTCTAAACCCTATATTACTGAAAGCAGTTTGACTAAGGTCACAGCATTAATTCACAGAAATATGAAATAGCCCATCATTAAAAAGCTTCAAATTTCATTGCATGCAGATCCATATTAATGGCTTATTTTATACATAATGAAACCAGAACACGGGCGGCCGAGCGGCACATTGGTTAGCATTGCGGTCTCGCAGCACTGGGGCCCCGGAATTCGGGACCTGGGGTACTATCTGCGTGGAGTGCACGTTGGCCCTCCGTTTGCATAGGCTTCCTCTGGTTTCCTCCCACAGTCCAAAGATATCCTGGTAGGGGTTATTGGGGGAAAACGGGCCCTGGTGTGAGCATGCATGTTTCTGTGTTGGAGCCCTGTGATGTACTGGCGTCCTGTCCAGGGCGAACCCTGCCTTGTGCCCACTGCTTGCCAGCATAGGCTCCGGCCCCCCCACGACCCTGAATTAAATGAAGCGGTCAGAAAATGGATGGATGGATGGATGGATGGATGAAACCCAAATCGAGCTCCCAACAAGCTACCGCAGTTCACCTAACTGGGTTAAAGGTTTCTAACCAGAGCTTCAGCGATCAGAAAAGACTTTAAAATGCAGCAGAGGCCACTGTCCAGCACCCCTGACAGTTGCCTTCAAGGTCACACTGGACAAGCCAGATTAGCGGTTTGCCACTCCCTACCAATTTACATAGAAAGGCCATGGTCAGAGCAAAGGACACAACAGCTGACCTCAGCCGCCGATCTCGGGGAAAGATTCTTAAGCGCTCTTGTAACAGAACCCCCAGTCCCTCACATGCAGAGACAAGTTCTCCCTTCCTCTGCTCAGAGATCTGTACTCGGCCACATCTCTGGGCCTATACTGCTTTTGAACTATTTCTGGAATGCAACACGCATGCGCTACTTTGACGGCACCCCTGGGTTTTGGTGAGTACGCAACACACAGCTCCCCTAAGTGAGGGTCAGTGGCGCCACACCACACTCGCATGCCCGGAAACAAACCTGCAGCCTGCATTTCACCAGGTCTAAAGGCACGACTGCCGTGTGCGTCGTCCCGCAGCTTAGAATCCCTCCAAAACCACAGAGGACAAAGTACCTGGACGAGCCGAACTCGCAACTGTCACCCTCTGAGGGAAGAGAACGCGAGGGAAGAGCATTAAAAGACCTGTGAGCCAGCCTTCTTTAAAAGAGGAACGCTTCAAACTCCTATGACTTTTTTTTGTGTTATAGAACTCCAAAAACTAGCTCCTTTAAAGCATCAGCGAATAAAACAAATCAGAGCACGGGCTACCCTTTGAGGAATTCAAGTCTTCGCTATATACAGGGCTAGTCGACAAGTATAAATGCCAATTATCTTACTAAAGGTTTTTTTCCCTCCACAGACGGCAAAGGATTGCAAACTAACTGTTAGAAACTTTGATATTTACGCTTTCGTCTGAAACCTTTTTTGTCACAGAAACCCATGTCATTAGTTTTTCCATAAACTGTCACGGCTGTCGACTGACCCTGTATCTAACCTTTGAAGGAACAGGGAAAGGTTCATTCCATGTCGAAAGGACAAAGACAACGTTTCAGGTGTGAGGTTCTTAACACCAGGGGAAGACTCCACAGCTAAAAGCTGGACTCTCCGCTCTCGGCACGGGATACACCTTAACCTGTCCCTTTCCTACCTACTCAGAACCAGGACCGCCATTACATCCAAGACCAACCCGACTCCAGCGCAGCACATGAAAAAGTCACACCATTAAACCCTAATAATAGCTGAGCCAATTTACGAAAGTTAAACTAATCATCCCGCCGGCTTTCTAAAATCCAATTATTCCGATGCTCAGAGCGCACACCCAAGAGCCGATGAGCACTCCAGGATCACCGAGACTTATCGGGATGGCACAGCCGGCACCCGGCACAGTTTCAAAGGGGGCCCCCCGATTTCTTCTTTTAAATCACAGCGACCGACTACATCAGCTAGCCGGCAGCCAATGGGCGCTGGCTTTGCTGGGACCTGCGGCTGGCGGTCAGGGGTCACAGCCGCTCCGGAGAGACGCAGGCCTCCCTTTGCCCTTCACCACCGGCACTCCAGAGGACACGGCCGGGCTGTGGCGTTAATAAACACCGCCAGGAGGCTTTTTAAATCTCCCCTCCGCGGTCAGAGGCGCAGACGGGCCCTGGGTCGTTTGGGGGAAGGAGTCCCCCCCCCGCCTCAATAAACCGGAGAAGGCCTCTCCCCACCCCCCATCTCCAGCCTCCGGGGTTCACCACGCAGACTGCGGCTCGCCGCATCAAGCTGAAATGCGGCACCCGACGCGTATGCCGAGATGGGATATATTTTTTTAGCTAAAACGCCACAGAAGTGAAGCCAGCCGAGGGACAGCTTTTAGAAGTTAAACCGCTAATTCCTCAGCAAGTTGCCGTTTTTCCGGACGCGACCCCCCCCCAGCGTTGCCGTGGAAAGACGAGCTAAGGGCACCTTCTCCTTAGTTACTCGGTATTACTAGACGCAGGGCCTGAAACAGAGCGAGAGGAGTTGTAGTCGCTGATATTTTCCCGTCGAGATAGCTGCTAGAGGAATAAATTCACTCACAAGCCCCGGGGATACGAGTCTAGACCAGCGGCAACCTTCAGCATCGCAACTGAAGGGCAACTTTCCCAGGCGCCGAGTTTTGTGGGCTTTTACCAACTACACGAATCGCCGAAAAAGCCTGAAACCGTTAACTGAATCTCTTCTTCTTCATCATCATCCCACCCCCAAGTACAAATTAAATAAAAAGTGATGCACGCAGGTCCTTGATTTCTGGGGGCTTACCGCTGACCGCGGCGGCTGCCAGCCGGCGCCGGCTGTGTCCCTGCTCGGCGGGGCTGTGTCGGGGCTCCTCGGCTTTCTGCAGCGTGAAGAGCGGGGCGCAGAACGGGTTGGCCCGGGCCAGCTGTGTCAGGGTGGTCGGGTACATGATGTGGTCGGGGCGGCAGGTGAGCTGCGGGAGAAAGGCAAGTCATTCCAGTACGTGCAAAGACTGAAGCATGACTCCGAGCGGCCGGCCGGCCGGCCGGTCAGAAAACTGCTGCCTATTTCATGATCAAACTCGAGATCAACACTCTACATGAGGAGCGCTTAAAATATCCGGAGCCGGTTCTGTCATTGAAATCCCCCCGAACGTGCACTCAGCTCTGTGACACCACAGCCTCGGTGACACACAACAACCTCTAAACTTACAGCATTTTCCCCTTTCCGCCATATTCTAAAGCAATTAAGCGGCAGATTCTTTGCAAACTACACGTCGTTAACCTCATTTCCCAATCAATGCAGTGCCCTAACTCACTTGTTCTCTCCGTGCGTCTTAAAATGGCGCCTCCGCTCAGCTGCCGGCGGCTCACAGAGGCCGGACGTCCTCGAGCTTGATCAATTTGTCCTTCGCTGACGTCACTTTTACGTCGAGTACACGTCTTTCTCTGTTCCATCCAACCCCAAACCACTTCGTCGACGTGGGCGGGACTCCAATGCGTTTGCGTCTGCAAGAAGCCGCGCTCTCTGACCGCCTGCTCAGAAGACAGGGGCGCGCACGTCGGGGCTTTGAAACGACTGGAATACCTACAAGAACGAGTACGCACCGGAAAGTCGGAAACGCAAGGGAAGTACTCAGAAACATTACGGCTTTTAGCAATGTGATTACGTAATAGAACCACAAATCATCTGTATTTAAAGACTGCCATATCTGGGAGATATAGTTACTTTCCCATACAATATTTGGTAATACTAAATATAATAGTGCAAAATATATAATATAATAACATCTACAAATGTAAAGTATTAATAAGTAGATGATAAAATATTTTTGCAAATGATTTATTCCAAATATGTTGTGAGTGTACAGTGTTGCTTAACAGTTATGGGTAATGATTAAACATACCATAAAAAGTTTTTTTTCTTTCTCTTTTTTATTGTATTATTTAAGCTTGTTCAACACGTGTTTTTTGGTGTAACAAGGGTTGCTCATAATCCCTTTCTAATTGCAGTTTAGCCTGCATGAGGAATTGCATGGAGAGACAAAACTGAAGAACAGCGACAGTCTAAGAAATGTGAAGTTTTTACAGACGAAGTCCCACAGTGCACAGTGCAAGGTTCTGCTGCTGCCAGTGCGCAGAAGTTAAATGATACTTTGTGTCTTTAAGAGCAGAAGAGGGCAGCATTAGTTGATTAACCCTGGCAGGGAGAGGGCACATTCCTCCGGGGGATATTCTTAGACAGGGTGCCGGTTAGGTGGACAACTGGAACAGCCTGTGAGTTCCACAGTGGACCCCCTGTTGACGACAAATACCAGTCAACATAACGAACCCATTCGTTCACGCCTGTTCAATAACATCCCAGTATACCTGCTACAGAAGGGTCTGTCGTTTTCCTGATAACTTTGTGCATCTGCTGCAGTTGGAAGTGATGCTTCCTTTCATGCTCGGTAACCTATACTAAAATATCTCACATTGGGCAGCATAGTGGCGCAGAGTTTATTGCTGCCTCACAGCGCTGGGGCCCCAGGATCAATTGCTTAGGGGCTGTCTGTGTGGAGTCTGTACGTTCTCCCCGTGTTCGTGTGGGTTTCCTCTGGGCGCTCCGGTTTCCCCCCACAGGCCAAAGGCATGCTGGTAGGTTAATTGGCTTCTGGGAAAACTGGCCCTGGTGTGAGTGTGTGTGTGTGTGTCTGTCCTGTGATGTAGTGGTGTCCCAGCCAGAATACATCCTATCCTGCACCTTTTGCTTGTCAGGGTAGACTCCAGCTCCCCCGTGAACAGGTTTTATATAAAGCGTTTAGAACCTGGACGAATTAAATGAGTGGCATCCTTCATATAAAACAATCCCAGGTGCCGCCGAAGCCTTACCTGCCTCACTCCTTAGCCTGTCCGGATGACATCTTAACCAGGTGAGCGCTTGATCCGTGACGGAGCTACTGGAGGACTGGAGTAAAGCGATAGACAGATGCTCCTGATGTGAGCAGCTCCCTCCTCAGAAAAGACGTCCTCACTGTCACGGGAAGCTGGGAGCACTCTCCTTGCACTGGAGAGCCACGGATCCGAGAGGAGCATAGGCTTCTCCTAATGAGGGTTTTCCAGTCTCGCCAGTCCCGCACCAGTTTCCAATGGGAGCGATTTCCCTCGGCCAGTTCATATTGTGTTGTCGAGGATTGAAATCTGGGGATCCGAAAAAGAGAGTTAGCCTCTTGACGTAATCTCTGAATGGTCTGGATCTTCCAGCTGGTTTTATCCACTGGATCGTGGGGTCTCTGCCTGGCTGTGAAAGTAGTGTAAAGATCAGGATAAATGATCAGGTCCTGAGAGGACCAAGAGCCTGCTGGTATTTCCCTGTGGTGGAGCTGGGAAACCGGAGAACCGTGTAACGCTCTCCCTGATGAAAGGACTTGATTTTGAAGATGTACGGTGCTAAAAAAAAATGCTTCACATATTTGAAACCTAAAACCTTAATCAAATTCCCAATGAAGCTAATTTTAACCTGAAGGACCAAATGACACAAAACAGAATACTCTTTCAACATTTATTTATCTGGAAATTATGCATTATTCACGTGTGACAAAGTGTGTCAGCCTACTGTACATCTGGCAAGAGAGTTTGTTATCAAACATCGTTCATGTCCCATGACATGTGTACATGGAAATTATTTGCAGTTCCAAGGGCTTTTCCTCACATTTTAGTCTCTTCTGTTATGTTTGTTGACCTACAAGCCCATCCCTTCTGTCCAAGAAAGTAACTTGTTGTTTATGGAGAAACACATTTTTCCATAGTGCTGCCGCAACCTGACCTATCCTCAGTGATTTGGTGCAAACTGTGGGAGCCCATGGACCCAGAATGAGCCTGCAACACCTTGACGTTCGGTACAGCAGAGGGAAGTATAGTGGAATGGTTCTGCTGATCCATAACCCACACGATGTGTGGACGGTTCACTCCATCCAGTGTTTCTTCAAACAGCTTTTGCTGATCATGCTTGTCCATGTCATTAGCATGGCTAGGATGTGCTCAGTGGAATGGACTGGCAAGCTTAGCAGGACCTGAAAGTTGGTGCACCCTTGCTCAGTGCCTCAGCTCTTGCAGCTACACCTCTGATCTCTCTTCAGCTTCCTGGTCTGTGAGATAAGTTTGCGATAAAGGTGGTACAAGGGGTGGCCATGGGAATCGCCTTCAGGATTTCGAACTCCTCTGTCCAAGGTCCTCAAAAGTCATGTTTATCAACCAGGCACTAGGAACCCATGGTTTCAATACACAAACCTTAACATAAACTAATATAACCAACTATTAAGGAATGATTTCATCAGAAAAAGTTATATGAAGATTACAAGTATGCAGACTGAGTTCCTTAAGGTAAGTACTTGTATTTATTATCCTCATAATAGTTCACAAAGACCCCAACCTGATTTACCTACATTATACCAGTGCCATGTGTGCTCAGGTCCTTCTAGCTGGGTTCACCCCCAGTACTGCACCCTGCAAGGGGTCACTGGAGGAGCGGTGGTGGAGCCTCTCTGCTGTCACCACACCAGTTTAAAAGGGATACTCCCATTTGCTCAAGTGACCAGCACCCACTTGGCTCTCCGCTCCTCTCGGACACTGAACCCACCGGCGCCTGCTACTCTCGGACACTGAACTGACCGGCGCCATCTAATGTAATGTAGTTTCTTTATTAGCCCTATACAATTTCTTGCATTAGGAATGTGTCTTTTCACATACCCCAGCTTTTCTCCATGGAGACACAGACACACAGACAGGGAGAGAAGCTTGGGGTCAGAGCCATTGTACGGCACCACTGGAGCAGTTGGGGTTAAGGGCCTTGCTCAGGGGCCCAACGGAGTAGGATTCCTCTGCTGGCCGCGGGATTTGAACCGGCAACCTTCCAGTTACAGACGCAGATCCTTAGCCACAGAGCCACCGCTCCGCCCTCGGCTATCTGCTCCTCTCTGACACTGAACCCACCGTCTCTCCGCTCCCCTTGGACACTGAACCCACCGGCTCTCCGCTCCTCTCGGACACTGAACCCACTGGCTCTGTTACAAATTGTTTTGTCATGTTGTAGTGTGATACCCTGTATGTGACACTTTTTAAACGGTAGAGGCAGGTAGTTAGCTCCCCGCTACAAGCTGCAGTACTGGCGACATGCCCATTGCGTTTGCCCATTTTTATAAAGGTAACCCCACATGTCCAGGCAGGCTCAGTGTACTAGCAGACGTAGAACAGGGTTTTACACTCA